GGGGGAGCCAAAGAACGTAGTGACTTTTTTTTTTTTTAAATACACAGCGGCATAAATTTCATTCATCTTTAAATCAGAAGATACAATCATGGTTTTCAAAATCAGATCGAACCCGATGGTCAGATCGGAAAAATTGGGAATCGGTCATAAGATAATAAAATCGCTTTTTGGTTAAAAACCGTTGATTTGGTCAGTAAACCGTTGATTCAGCAGTCGAACCGTTGATCTTGACAACAGTTTCTGGCATTTTTTGTCTTTAAATTTTGTATTTTTTCTGTCAGAGCGGGCCATTCATTTGGACCAGATGGTCAGACCGTTCAACCCGCCATTGACCTGGTCGGTCGAACCGTTCAAACCATCACCGGCCAGGATTCCGGGTCTGATTCAGTCAAAACTGTTGACTTGGTCAAGAACCGTTCGACCCAGCCGGTTCGACCGTTGACCTGTTCAACACGACGATCAGATTACGGGTTGCACACTCAATGCATGCAAAACTTTCGAAGACCATAACTTATTTATACATTATTTATTGCTAATATATATGTGCTGACATGGCATGGTCTGAACCGTTTGATCCAGTCAGTCGAATTGGTGACCCACGATGAAGAGACAAAAATGGTTCGGCCTCTAGCTCAATTCTTAAAACATTGGTGAATTCCAAACACTCCAACAAATTACAAGGTCTATTATACAAGCAGAGATGACATATCGAGCTAATTAACCGGTGAGCAACCTTGTTTGCTGATCATTAAGCATGAGAAACCGAGGCAGATGGAAGGTGAAAAAGGATACTTCTGCAATTCGCAATCAAAGCATCCACCAACGTAACATAAGCTTTGCTGGTTGATGCATCGCCTTCAATAACAAAATGAGTGATAGACAAATCTGCTGAAAATGTAATACCCTCTAAAAACGCATGGGACATCCACTTCTAGCCACCATTAGTTGGTTTAGCCAAATTGTTTTTAGTGATGCCGCTTTAGTTCCCATTCCCCAAAGGGGCCAAGCCCTATATGCTAGGACTCAGGTTGTGTTTGTTACCATTGCTGTTTCTAGGTGAGACGTATTGGGTTTATTAATACAAATCAACACATATGTGGAATTGATCATTGACCTTTATGGTTGAAAGATCAATGGTACCAAACACTACCCCAGCCAGTGGATTAATAGGTTAGTGATGTGCACACAGAGTCCACCGACACACAATATAGCTAGAAAGCCTGTTTTCCCATGATTTAAACCCATGCCTCCTTAATACGAGGGATGCCTTACAACCAATTTCACGTCAAGTAGATGGGCTCTATTTGCCTTGGATGAAAAATTTATTCTCATCCTCTGTTTGCTTGGATGGGCTCTAGGCTCTAGAGATGGCAATTTGACTATATTACATTACATAATATAATATAGTGCTAGGTAGTAGGTTTCAAAAAAGTAAAAATAACCAGGGCGGGGCGGGACAAATTCGGAGATCCCCATTCCTCGTAGGGATGGGGATGCGACTGGGATTTCTAACCCTGATGGGATATTTGAGTTTGGGGTTGGAGACAGGTCACACGAAACCTGGCCCCGCCTGCTATTTCTAATTCTTCCACCTCTATACCGTGTTGGTAAGCTCTTATAGTGATGGTGCATAATGATTTAAACAGATTGGAATTGTCGCCACTAGTGAGGGGGGCCTCTACGATTTTTGCATTCCTTCTCGGTTGCGTCAGGAAATATTTCTTGAACAAAATACAAGGGCTTCTGAATGGTAACCAAGTACCACATTTGATATTTTTCAGAGGTCGAAGCTCCGTATACCTAGTGTTGTACAATCCAAGCCCGCATCAACTCCGCTTGAAATTTTTATTGGGCTTGGATTTTGTTTTCGGACTGGGTTCAAGTCCAAGACTTCGGAGTTTATTATTTTTTTGACTAATCTAAGCCTAGCCCTTAGGTAGCCCAAATCGAACCCGACCCAACCCAACTATACACAGAGTCCAAGATCTAAGGTAAGTGGCAATTATTCCTTTTCTTTCTTTCTTTTTCAACTGTCCTTCTCACTCTCTCCTCTAATAATATAACATAACATTCCAATCTAATGATCAAGATGTAATAAACGATGGAAATTGAACTCAATTGTTTTGACCCATTCAAATCGGATGGTTGAAGTTGACCCGCTTACCCGAGAACTGGAGGGAAAAGCAGTTTTGTTTCAGATTCGGTTTTTAAATCCTTGCCGATCATACTGTATCAACTTAATACTTGCTAACAGAAAGTAGATTTTTTTTCCCATTACTGAAACCACATGCAAATGCAAGTGACTTTCGTCTAGTAGGAAAGGTCAATACATTAGCTGATTACCATAATTTAATCAAATAAAAAAACCTGCTACTCCTTTTAGAAAGGAGAAAACGTTCTTCTTCACTGTGGTCCATGGATAACAAGGCCACATCTCTCATATTTCAGAAGATCTCAAAAGTTTATATCACCAGTGACATAACCTTAATATCCTAAGTACTGGAAAAACTTCAAATTTTTAAAAATAAAAAGCGAAAAAACTTGGGAAAATGACAGTTCAGCCCAGGGTCAGAATTTTTAAGCCCAAAGTACAGTTGGAGTAGGTGATAACTCGGAATTGATGCCAATTTATGGGCGGGCATTGATGCATAGATTGGGGGTATTTAACATTTTGAATGTTTATAGGTCTGTAATGAAATTCAGAAATCTGCAATGAACCCGTCCATACTTTTCCAAAAAAACTTTCGCTGTTTGAGAGGCTTCTTGTGCATGACAATTTACCAATTAATGCATCATGCAGAGGAAGCTCCCAAACAGCCCAAACTGTTTTTTTTTTTTTTTCTTCTGAACAGCGAAAGTTTTCTCCCAAAGTAGTGGTAGTGAAGAGTATCAAAAGGCAATTTTATAACAACCTGGGCTGTTTTTTCTCAAATAGCCAAAATTTCCCCCAAAGTAATGATCGCGAAGAGTATCAAAAGGCAATTTTATTGGACGGCACATAATAAACACCCAAACTTGAATTTCAAAAGGCATGGTTTGTAGTTTGTACCAACACCGTCAATATGTATCAATAGCGGGTTTACAGAGGGCTTTGTAAATTCTAAACCCTATCTGCCCCACTAGATCTCCCAACCCGTACCCTCCCCAAAAGCCTTGAGTGTTGAATTTTCAAAATCCAAACCCTCCCCTCACATGAAAATGCAAAACCCTCCATGACCCTACCCTCCCCACATTTGAGAGTGGGACAGGTCAGATTAGCAGGTTGAGTCTAGAACTAGCATTTAATTTCCCATTATTTCCTTTTATATATAAGCAGCAAACAAGCATAACATGAAGAAACAATAAAACTTTTAAATATTTAATTATAACATGCAAAAAAACATAAACGCATGCATACATACTATCTATATATATATATATATATAAATATATTAAGCTGAATGTGTACATAAGAAGGCGAGGATGAGGGAAATGGAATCTAACAGTATTTTTTGCCTTTTTTTCATAAAATTACAAGAATGCCACTCTTTACCAATTCTCTCTTTTGCTTTTTTTTCTTTCAAATTACAAGAATGCCACTCTCTCTCCTACCAACTCTCTCTCTTACAAATTACAAGAATGCCATCTCTCTCTCTCTCTTTCTAAATTACAAGAATGCCACTCTCTCTCCAACTGAGGGAGACCTCAGCTCAGCATCTCGGTTGCTAGGGGACCTGAATCAAATGTAGTCAAGTTTGAGTCAAGCCGAACTCGAACTTTTGAGCTCAAGCTCTAGTCTCCAATTCAAATCGAGCTCGAGCTAGGCGATACCTCGACCACCGAGGGAGACCTCGGCTCGACACCTCAGTCACTGAGGGAGATCTCGGCTCAACACCTCGACAACCAAGGGAGACCTCAGCTTGGCCATAGCTCGACACCTCGCCTGCTAGGGAAACCTCAGCTTGACACTTCAACAGCTGAGGGAGACCTCGATTTGGCACCTCAACAATTGAGGGAGACCTCGACTCGAAACCTCGGCTCGACACCTCGACAATTGAGGGAGACCTCGGCTCGAAACCTCGACTCGACACCTCGACTTCTTGAGAGACCTGCAATCAAAGGTAGTCGAGCTCGAACTTCCGACCTTTTGACTCGAGCCGAGCTCGAGCTCAAGTCTCTAATTCGAATCGAGCTAGAGCCCGATAGTTTATGAGCAAACCCCTACAACACAGGGCCCCCTTCCACTTGTATATATGTAAAAACATGAAGAAACAATTTTGCCAAACTTGAAATTTTTGGGATATATACATTTATAGATGAAAATCGCATCTACATACATGAACCATACATACATATATATATATATATATATATAGATAGATAGATAGATAGATAGATAGATAGATAGATAGATAGATAGATAGATATAGATATAGATATATGTATATTGGGTTCATACTTTTCAACCCTAACCCTAAATCAAACTTCAACCTGACCCAGGCTAACCTAGCCCAAGTCGCAGCCCTAACTGCGGGGTGTATGCAAGGTCTATTGGTCGTACAATGGAGAACCTGCTGAGTTCTGGTCTGCAGGGTTGATCTTGTGCCTCCACTTTGGTAGGGATGACAAGTTGATATCTCAACAACCAGATCATAGGCACAGATAGGATGGCGTACTCCGTTGATGCTTTGGGTGGTCCACAACCAGAATGAAGTGCAACTCATGCCGCTAAGACACTAATAGCTAAGTAGCATTTTTTGGTAGGTCATAGGTGGTTGCCCCCTGTGGACTTTCTTCACATATAGCTGTATAGGTTACATGCACTGAGATTTGCCATCAACTTTGTTCGGTACATAGATGAATGCTATCAGCTTCATCCAATCAACTGCATCCCACATATTTAACCTGTCCTATTCAACCTTTTTGCAATATTTCCCACCTACCCCCGCCCGCCGGAAACAAAATTGTCATTCGGCCAAAGAATAACCAGAAGTAAAAGAACGAACTTCTTTTGCAACAACTTACGAAATTACATTCATTATGATTTTCTGAAGTGTTTCCATTAGCTAGAACTAAGCTTGTATTTAACAGCATAGAACACACTAAATGCAGCCACTATGATGGTTGTGAGAAGTTGAACTACCCATGGCTTCTGATTCTTAAATAAAACATTATTGTTTAGGTACACCCATATCCACCGAAATAGAAAATGTAGACCACAAGTAGTCTGAAACTTTTGGACAGAGAAATCCTGCACAGAACAATTCTGACAGTTCAGTATTCATGTAAGGATGCAGGATCCTAACCCACACTGAATAACTGAGCATATAAGCAACCTTGACTACACAAAAAGCAAGACTATACAAAAATGCAATGCTTTCAGTATCTAAAAATGTGCCAAAAGAAGACTACACAAAAAACAAAAGAAAAATAGGGGAAAATATCAAAGCAGCCTTTTGTTCCCAGAAAATGCAATATATTTGGTATAAGATGAAATTATGAAACAAAGTTTTCAGCATTCAAAAATCTATAAATAAAGTTGCTGTTCAGATTGGTCAGATGAGGTTCATAAGTTTGTTCCATAATATTTATCTAGGTAAGCGATCCTAACCTACATAGAATGTGGTGGGTTGGAAGTAGAGCAGCTTTTCTCATTTGGTCACCAGACTATTCACCTTGGCAGCAAATGCAACGCAGCTGCAATTGAACTTTTCTAAGGAAAACTCCTGCACTCTCAGAGAAATTGTATGATATCTTGATCAGTTAAGGAATAGGTGAATATACGGATTCTACTTTCACAAAATAAGGAACCATGTTCCTTACTCCCCCATATTTTTTCCAAGACAATTTGTACTTCTGCACACATGGAATGGTGGCCTTCAAAAAAACATTTTTTCACTAAAAAAACAGGGCATACATCATTTTGTCAAGGGAGAAAAAGCACATAACCCCAAACAGACAGGACATACATACTTTTAACTAATTAGAAGACATGATTTCCTTTGTTAAAGAAAAGTGACTATCAACACTTGAAGTTGTGTGCATATCAAGTTAATAATATTTATGTTTCAGGAGAACCTTACCAAAAAAAAAGAAGTTTCAGGAAAGTAGATTAATATTCTTCTTGCTGTGTTATGCCAAAACAGGTTATACTCTCTTAAGACTGAACCATAGACCTAGTTTCAGCACAACACTTGAAGTTGTGCATAATTCCATGTAATACATGTCCCGATGTCCCTATAATCTAAAACCTGTTCCACATAGAGAGCTCTCTGCTTTAAACAGAAATTTGAAAATTGGGAATCACCATCGACTTAGTAACGCATGAATGAGGAATGTAAGAACATGCCCTGGAACTGAACCCCATCTCATACGAAGGAAATAATAATACCAAATTATGCTGTTATCAATACCATGGATTGTTCGGCTCTACATGCTTTTTCCCATTAAATACTTCATAATTCATACAAAGAAGAATGGAAAAACATGCAAGACAAAATAGCCCTATAGCATTTATTAAAATTAAAGAATTTTCTCCATGAAAATTGTTTCCCCTGATAGATATTACCTTCGGTAGCTTATCTTGACTGGCCAGATGATCCACATGAAGCCTCACATTTGATGAAGCAGCAAACCAAACACGGGGGTTGACATCAGAATATGTTTCTGCCACTATGTCAAATAATGTCTCTGCTCCACTTTCTATGGCTTTCAAGATGGATGATTCCCTATTTCGGCGATTTCTGAAAATAAACTCATTGTTATATTGGAGGCTTAATGTTTGTTATAGTGAAAAATTATGATTGATTATTGATAAGCTATGCACATACAAAAATATGAGTGAAAAATGTCCAGTATACTGTGAAAATGAGATAATTCTTTCCATTATTACTGAAACCACAAGATAGCCAATGCATAAATCAGATCTGCTATGTGCTGCATACTCCCAAGATATTCTAAATCTCCCCGAAAGAGTGACACTTCCCATGCAGCACAAGGGACATTGAGGATGAATAGAAGGCACTGATTCTTCATTCTCCCACACAGTAAGTATTTATTTTGAACGCCAGATAAGATGATCTATTATAAAAACCTCATTTTGGAATGTGCTCCCACCACTCTAACCAAAATCTCTTCAGCGGCATTCCTTTACACCCCACACCTGCCAACACCTATTCCAATCCTAAATATCCCTATAAATTTGTAATAGGCCTATGTACTCTATTACAACTTGCACAAGTCTATTTTCAACAAAACTTGAGTAATTATCTACCTTCTTTTGGTATACAAGGAGGCTATCAAAAGGGAGTAGTACAACCCCAGAAGTAGTGGTGTTGGACTTCACATGTTATTTTTGTAATATCTTGGATCTAGGATTACAAGTACAAAAGAGCTCCCACAATTTCCCATGTTTCTCATATTTAGGTGATTGGTCAACTTAATGGGTGGGCCTAAGAGATTATTTGGTCTTATTAATCAGATTAAACATATAATCCCAACTATCTGTTTCCACTGTATTCATTGTAAAGAAAAGTTCAATTAAAGCTCAACAAGATATCTGAAAATAATATATGGACTAGACTAGAGTAACCAATTCTCCCCGGAAGGGCCATACAAAAAAGTTGCTATAACCCTTAGTGTAGACAGTCAAACCAGACTCCTTGGATGGCTATTTCAAAAGGAACCTAGAACCAGCAAAGATTGGAGGTATCTTGAGGCAGACAGCATTTGTCTTCTAGGCTTTGGGCATCCTATTGGAGAAGCAGATTTGATGGCAGTGGAAGTTAGAACTCTTCTCAGGTAACTTGGTTAATGTCATTCAATGGTGACAAGGGTGAATATTGGACTGTAAAGCTTAGAACACTTGCGTAGATGAAATATAGGAATCCTTGGTGAGCTTGACTTTTCTTTTCTTTTTTTTTTTTTGGTACTTGTTAGCTTGAGTTTTCAAATTAGATAGATTTCTATGGAAATGAATTCTATAGCTGATAGAAAAGAAGGACAAGATTGAAAAACAAAACCTGTTTGAATAGAGAAGTTGGTGAAACTCTTTCAACCCAATCTCCAGATTGTTGTGATATGGAATCTAGTTCTGCAGCTCTTACTGAAGAAGCTGGGGAAATTGAAGGGGAATTGCTGGGGGAGGAGGATGATTCAGAAGAAGTTGAAGAAGGAGAATAGGAAGAAGAGAGGGTGGAACTTGATAGAGTTAGAAAAATTGAAAAGAAGATGGGCCTAGAAAAGATAGTGGAAACTAGAGCCCAAGCTTGTAAGATGCTGGGTGTATATGCTTTAGGAGGGGAAGATGCTACAAGAAAGTTGTTTCGGAAATTAGTACTGAACTACCAGGTGAGTGATGGAAGTCCTACTTCAGATTGGTAAATTGATGAGGGTCTTGTCTTAGGGCTGTGTCTTTGGTCGGGTTGGAAGTATATTTGGTCTGTTGAGGGACATGGGCTGTGGAAGCAAGTTGTAGGGATGGATTCTAAGGGATAAAGGAAATTGTTGTTTTTGTTTTTTCCTCTGGGTCTGGGAGTTGTTTGGTCTTTGGGATTTGCCTTTGTTATGGGTGACATCTTGTCACCCCCTTTTGTACCTTTTTTCTTCTTTAATACGTTTCCTTTTTTTATTTATTACCAAAAAAATGAATTCTATAGTTGATACTCTTGCAAATTCAGATATTTGAAAGGCTTTTATGTATACGGATCTTGAGTATCACATAGTCTTTTGTAGTGGGGGAGGGGAACTGTTGTGCATCATTGTATATCCTCTCACAAAACTCTCCTGCTTTTTGATATATAATATATACAAGTTAACTTTGTTAAAAAGAGTCAAGAGTCACCTAATCGGACTGATAGTTTCAAGGACCTCCAAGGTTTCATGGGTTGGGTAGCCCGACGGTCCAGCCCATTCTAAGTCAGGCTAGGACATGAATTTAGGCCTGCGTGCTTGGGCTCGAGCCGAAAATACCGGGCTCGACTTTTTTTCGGGCCGGGCTCGGGCTTTCTCAAAAAATCCCATGCCAAGAAGCCCCATCCCAACTTGATAACATATTATATAGCAAAAAATGCATTTTATATAATAAAATATACATATAATATGTTCTTTTCTTTGTTCCTCTTCTTGTTCTTCAAGCCATAGTGGGATCTTTTATTATTTTTGGGTTTTGCGGTCTTTTAATATAAATAAATTAGTTTTTTTATTGAGCAAAAAAAGGAAAAAAACGGGCTCTGGCTCGGGCCTGACTACTCTGTTAATATAGAGACAAAGCCTGGCCTGGACCCACCCGGCCCATGAACAGGTCTACTTGTAACTACAAACTTAAGATGTCCCCGTTTAAATATTACAAGAAAGGAAGCTCTTTGTTAATTAATTTGATGAACCAAGTTCACATGCATGCCGAAATGCAGCAGCAAGGCCTACCATAGAAAAAAATATGTATGACCTGTCAAGAGACATTATATTTTATGTCCTCATGGGTTTTTACACAATTTCAAAATCCCTACATAATTAGTTATTTTCCATAGAAACTTTGGTGACAAAATCCTGGAAAATGGAAGCAGATAAAAATGTATCATTGATTGCGCCTTTAAGATGCTAAAAACAAGAGAAAATTAAAACAAGTTGTCCGTTTCATACTTGAGATATCCACAAAGCATGTATTTTGGCCATACGTTGACTCTCCCATGCATGGGGATCAAAGCATGTGGTGAAAGATCCAGGAAATTATAGGTTGTTTGGAAGTAGTCCTGCATGGAAAAGAATTTTAGAAACTGCTGAAAAATAAACTACTAAAAAGATTAATTCCATTCATTGTGCCAGAACTTCATATTATCCTTTCGAGATGATTTGTAGCATAGAACATTTTGTTGCACTCAGATTTTTTTTTTTTTTTTGCATTTTATTAAGCTGAATAATTTAGGTTTTAATTTCTTGCACATATGGGCTTTTAGCTATTTACATATTCCAACTGCTAGCTTTTTTTGGGAAAGATTGCAATACATGAAATACAGAACTAAGGCGTACTGGAATATAAAAACATGTCACATCCATAAGTGGGCCTATCATCTAATGGACATTCTAGATCAACCACATCATCCCTCCAGATAGCTGAATAGACTGTGTACAGTGACTTCTTTTTGTCCCATATACGGATGTATTATTCCAAGAGAATAGAATAGAATAGTGTAAAGTCAGAAATGTAAAGTGGTACTCAGGAAAGTCAGAAATGAAAGAATCATATATAAAAGAAATCTTTCATATCACAACCTATTTGTTTTTACTTTGTTAAACCGTTTCATCCTTCAGGGAGCTCTATATTTTTCTGGTACATTATCTCATCATGAATATAGGAAAAGGAAAGCTTGTATATATTACTATGAAAACCAAAAACCACTCAAACCAGGATTATGTCAGAAATCTATAAAAACCATTTAAATTTTTAAAATTTAACTTACCTTCATGTTTCCACCAGAAGTGAAGTCTAGAACAGCACTTCCTTGCCTGAAACAAATCCAGTACAAGGGATTTTAGTAGAGAAGTATTTAAAAAAAAAATGATAGAATAACGGAAAAATAAAAAAAAAAGAAAAATGCGCAAAATTAGTAGCAAATGAAAGCAAAAAAGGGCCTAGCTAATAACACAAGATCAGAATTATTCTTCACACTCTTTTTGAAGTGGACAGAATAGAAATGGATCCATGATTCAATGTTTTTTGCCATAATTATCCAGAATGTTCTAATATCCTGTTATTCTCAAACACGTTTTGTGATTCAATTGGAAGCTGCAAGTATTAAAGATATTGAGACAAGAAATATCAATTCCCATGATTTTCTCAACAAAAGGAATAAAATGGAGTAGATAACCTTGTGAGTCCTCATTGCTTTGCAAAAGACAAACTCATTTTGAGACCAAAAGAGTAAAAATCTTACGTAGAGATTGACCATTCAATAAAAACAACAATGGGGCATAGAAAAAAAAATAACAAAATAAAGTCAGTCTGGGCAAGCCGTGGTAGATTACTTATTGCATCCTTTGACAGGTTTACAGGCATGTCCTAAGTATGACCAGTCTTTGATGTATTAGAATTAGCTAAAATAAAAAACCAGCATGAGATCTATAAACACTGATTTCATTGCCTTTTCTGTGCTTCTTTGCCTTCTGTTTCTCTTCTTGGTTCAATCAAGAAAAAGCTTGGTTAAAAGATATGAAAAAGAGAAGGTTATGGAATGATATGACACCTGAATACCTCTGTGCATGGCTAGAGTACTGGTGTAAGACACAATATGTAATGGGTATGACACCAGATACTGCTCAGACACTTCTAGATAAACTCTATAGAATTAACACTTGTATGAAAACTGGTATGTTTTAATAAATCATAACATTAAAAATTTCTGTATATGTTAGAAATTTAATTAAATTTGGAAGAACATTATTGAAGAAACATCATATATTTGGTTATATCAGTTAGACCCTCTTTACAAACCCAAAAAATAAGATAATGGATCTAAAAGGAAGGAAGAAATGGTCCAAAAAAACCATTAATTCACATTCTCATCTTGAAGGAATTTCACAGGAAAACAATTGGCAAAAACCAAAAGTGGGATCTATCAAGATGCAATTTTTTTATTGAAATTGTAGGTGTCTTAGGAATGGTTTTTAAGTTTACTAGAAATCTACCGTCATTTTGAAATTATTATTTATGGTAGCTTTCATATTACTAATCATATTAATTCTCGTAATTATTATTTATAATAAAATCACAATTTACTATTTTTAGTCATTTTTGGAGTCTTTACATTTAGTATTAGCGGCAATAATATGGTGTTATTGGAGTTCATTAGGAGTTAGATTCCTTGTTTGAGTGTCTCTATGGATTACTTATGTGTGTCTTATTTCTAAAGCAATTAGAAGTTATCTTCAGTCAGTTTTTTTTTTAACCAGATTTCATTAAAGAAAGAAGGGGTACATGAGAAGATGTACAAAACAGGGGAAGAACCCCAAAAGATTACAGAGGAAACTTGTCACTATACAAATGATCCAAAAACACACCACATTTGGCTAAGCCATCTGCTATATGATTTAGTTCCCTAGGAATCCAAGCTAATTTTGCATTTAAACAGTCCAAGGAGTCCCTAGCCTCTGCCAAGTAGTGGCTCAGTCTCCAAGGTCCCCCCTTCTTATCCCTCAACCATTTTATAGTATTTGCTGAGTCACCTGCAATGATTAAGTTCTGGATTCCCAAATATTTTATTATTCCGATTCCTGTGAGAGCATCCATCACTTCAGCCTTTGCAGAATCAGCCAATCCAATTGGACCACTGAAAGTCCAGCATATGTTACCCCTTTCATCCCTTATTGTGCCTCCAATTCCGGCTAAGCCAGGATTACCAAAAAGCACTTCCATCGAAGTTTAGGGTCACCACTCCATCACTGAAAATCTGGTTGTCTCAAGGTCATTTGATGAGAGCGAGGGAGAAAGTCTTGAGTCAGTTTTTGTCCAAATTGGAGTCTATAAAGGGACATCCAAGTTCATGTTAAGTCTACAAAGAGAGTCATTGAAATTGAAATTAAGAAGAGTTGATTTAATGAAATAAAGTCTGGTTTAGTGAATTGTGGTTGTTTCCAAGATTTTTTTTTTCCGTTTTACCCTCTCTCACCTATTTCTTCTTCTAAGTGATATATCTCTTTGCTGTTTACCCTAATAGCAAGAGTTATTCTCTTTCTTTCTCATTTCTTGCTTTGATATGTTATTCTCATTTCTTGCTCATTCTTTAGTGGATAGCGAGCTGTCTATTGTTTCTCCATCCCTATTATTCATCCCCAATCACCCAAAACCCCTCCTTCACCCCACAAAGCCCACCAGCAGACCTGAAATTTGTAGGATCCCTTACCCTGTCCTACATCATTTTTTTATGAATTACCCTGTCCTACATCATTTTTTTATGAATTACCCTGTCCTACATCATGTGTCTTGAGAAATGACAAATAGAAAAGCATGATAAAAGCATATTATATGGAAGACTTTTCAACAAAAATAAAAGCATATTATATGGAAGACTTGTGCCTGCATCCATGTCCAGATTTTAGGAAATGGAGAGTCATACCCTCATTTCCCATATCTAGATCCATGTCAATATCCATATTTGGGCATCATAGATGGAAAATCTAGAACTAGGGTTTTGCAAAATTATTTGAGAGAGAAACTAAGAGGTGGGGAAGGTGGAAGAGAATCCAATTAAGGTTTTCTGGGTTACAAGATTACACTGTAGTCTTTGGTTTGTGTAGTTGGATTTTCCAAATAGGGACTACAATGGAGGGACTATAAATTTGACATTTAGGGACTCACAGGAGGGGTTGTTCGGTTGTTCCTCGGTGCAATGGTAAAATCTAAGGTTGACAAGTATGAGAACGTGAGCTCAACTTTTACAGCAGCTACATCATGCAAAAAAAAATGCTATAGGTTAGGTCCATACCTAATGCACCGCTCCCAAGACCCCAGAGGCCCAGGTCCAGCATTGGCTAATAGACTTTTTTTTACATTTAGGAACTCTCAATTCTCAAAGCCTTTATTGTTCTCAAATGTCAAAAATGCACCACTAGGGATGATCATGGGTCATGCCATGTTTTTACAAGAGCATTTTGAGCTGCATGGGCCCAGCTGAGCTAAGCATCCAAGTTGCCTACATAAGTTAATAAAACTATTTTTTTAAAAAAGCTTAAAATTTAAATATAAGTTTATATTCAAGTTTACAAAAAACACAATTTTATATAATACATATATGAATATCTGCATATATATTATAAATACTATATATAAGACATATATTATATTATATATATTAAATTTCTAAGTCAGGCCAGGCTTTCTAGGCTACTTCCAAAGAATTAAAGAAATGGTTTGGTTGACACCATAACATGGAACCAGAATTCTCCCTTGAACATGGAAATGTTCATCTGATGGGGATTATAGGCATGAGAATTAGTATAATGATCAGTAGATTCCATAAACTGTTAAGTGATTGGCCTTTCCTTTTAGCATCTATAACAGGTAACTTAAAATGAGATTATTTCTTCAAGAGAATCTTACCCTACACAATGATCCCCTAGTATTAGTGAATGAGTACTGACATGAAGTAGAGCCATGTGACCATCTGTATGTCCCTGAAATTGGAAGAATGTATTGTTAAATTGCTGAATTGAGTAGCAGCATCTATGTCTCAAGTTAAATAATGAACTCAGTATCCCGGAAAAGGTTAAAAGATAAAAATGCAAACTAGTCAATGTGGAGATTCTGAAACATGCTGCTGCAAGATGATGTGTATCCTTTTTTATTGGTAACCAAAAATTATCTGTAATCTGTACTAGCAAAGTATTCCTTGAATCAATTAAGCCACCACTAAGTGCTTAACCCCACAACAAAAATAGCTGTACCAGAAAGTGCTATAATCCCCCAACATAGCTGCTCCCTATTTACCCATTGTTTGGTCAAGTTGTCTGCCAAACTATTAGCTAATCTTGGAAACCAATTACAAAGCATCCAGTTCCATACTCAAGTGATTGATTTCCTTAATATACACCAATACTGCAATGGTCCTTGACTTCTACTTTTGAGCCATCTCACTACAACCCATGAGTCGCCCTCTATTACCACATCTCTAACATTCAGTAATTGCCAATTTTAGTCCTTGGAGTACAGTTAGAAACTCTGTTCTGCCCTTTGTTGAGTTCCTCACTCATATAGGTCCTAAGAAATACTGCTATTATAGTTCCAACATTGCCATCTCTACCATGAGTTGCCTTCTATTACCACAACCCATGAGTCACCTTCTATTACCAAATCTCTAACATTCAGTAATTGCCAATTTTAGTCCTTGGAGTACAGCTAGCAATTCTGCCCTTGTTGAGGAGTCCGGATCTGCTGACCACAACACATTGCCGGTCACATTCATCCAGCCGCACATCAGAAATATCTCTTGTACTTTATATAGACGATGTTCCCATTGTGTGGTTGGATGAATGTGGCCAGCAATGTGTTGTGGTCAGCAGATCCGAACTCCTAGTTGAGTCCCTCACTCCTATAGGTCCTAAGAATACTGCTATTATATGTTCCAACATTGTTCTTTCAACACCCCAATTGTCAGGATTTCCCATGCTGCATACATCAAAGCTTAGTTTGATTTGACTGAGAGGAGGACCCCAATTCATCTTCACAAAGGATCTCAGCATCGATGAGTTTGCCACATTGAGCCAGCCTCTCAAGATGTCATTGGTAGGGAATATTCCCTAGTTTTGAGCCAATGAGCCACTTTTATCAAAATATTTTCAATAATGACCTCTTTCCTTTGTGATTTTTCCAAGAAAACTCTTGCATTTCTTTCCTCCCAAATCGACTACAAAAAAGCTGACCTAGTACATTGTCACATTACCTTTCCTCTCTTGTGAGGACTGAAGAAAAAGCTTTTAAAGATGGTTTGTACATCACCCTGATGAGTCCACCTACACCTTGATGACCAGAAGGTGACTTCTGGCACCTTCCTTGCATCTTTCTTCTTTTTTTAATAAAACTTTATTTTATTACCAAAAAAAATAGAGTCCACCTACACCCATTAAGAGTAAAGAAATAATCTGAAGTGCTAGAGACAAGAGGGGAGAAGATTAATCAGTGATAAGTATCATTAGATTTCGTGAACATTGTTTCAACAATTCTCTATTTAAGTCCATGAACCAACCATTTTTTTTATGAATAATTAAAAATATTTTACACGTTTATTTTTGAAAAACTAAGGATGAAACTGGCGCTGGGAAATCTAGGAGAAGTTGAAAAGCAAGAACATTACCCATCATTTCAATACTTTCTTTTTCTTTTTCTTTCCATAAGGCTCATTAAAAAGAATAAAGGGGTAAATATCAATAAAATACAAAAAGGACAAGAAAGAGGCATCTAAAGAAGCCCTATAAATGGACAAAGAAGGGCAAATGAAATGAAACAGGTAACAATACAAAAAGAGGGAACTTGAGGCTTAGAGTAACCCAAACATATCATCTTTAATTGCAAAATCTCAATTAGTATGAAACTCAAGAAAACCAGCACCCTTAAATTCCTTGAGGATGAAAAAATCAAAAGAAAAAATGTCAAGATAATCATGTCTTTAAACAGGGCCATCCTCCATAAACCAGACCATGCTACTTTGAGGCAATGCTTTTTCAGGTAAAATATCCTAAACCTTCTTAGTAAAAAAATCTCTAAATTCCTTGAGGATGAAAAAAAAAAATAAAGAAAAACATGTCAAGAGATCTCTGTAAGTGGGGGAATCCTCCACAAAATGGAACCACGCTACTTAAAGGCTCTACTTTGTGTTTTTCTTTTTTTCTTTTTTGAAGAAGGCAAGGTAACACTTTATTGAAGACCAAAAGGCTATTACATCACCAAAAGAACTGAGGAAGATTAAAAAAAAAACTCTTTTATCTTTCTCTCTTCTTTCTTTTTCGCTTTTCAAAACCCTTGGATCTTTTAAATTTCTATAGTAAAACCTTAAAACAAAGCATAAGTGATACATATAATGTATAATAGAATGTCTCTACACATGCTAATAAGATGCAACCATAGTAATAATGTTATAATAAAGCACCAGGCCTTGTGATTTATGTTGCCTAGGCTGAGACCTAGTCACCTAGACAGGCACCTCTCTGTTATAAGTCAAGGTGTTCAGGATAGGTGCCTTTGGTGCATAGTAATAATATTACCAAGGTTCAAAATATCGATACATATCAGGTCGTATCGGCCGATACACCCCTACAGGGGGTGTTTCAGGGTCTTGACCAGATCAGGGGGTGGACGGATAAACCGACCCCTCTGAACCAGATTTGAAAAAAAAAACTAAAAAAATAAAGAAACAGCTACCAATACACTCCGATACGCCTCTACCGGCATATCGGATGTATCGATATTTTGAACCTTGAATGTTACAATAAGGCACCAGCCTTGTGATTTCTGTTGCCTAGGCCGGTGCCTAGTCCCCTAGACAGGCACTTTTTTGGTATAAACCAAGGTGTTGAGTTGGACACCTAGGCAACACCTTGACAGCTATGGCCCCAAGGAAGCAGATCATATTGAGTTGTACTTTATCCTCTGAGAAGAAGTCCCAGATCATAGACTGTTACCAGGGAAAAGAAGCAATGATTTGCAATCATCTAAACTCCTCCCTAGTAAATATCCAATGAGCCACCCATGGTCACCAAGTCTAGGAAAAAATTACCTTCCACCTTTTTTAAAATTTGAAGATGTTCATATCTGCATCTTCCTATAGGATGCAAAGCATTGTTGCCATGGTTCATCTCCACATGATCATTCTACTTTTTGTTTAGGCAAGGGAAAGAAAGGCTCAAATAGGCCCATTAGATTTAATGGGGGTTCCACCTGGTGCCAAACATGAGATAATAACAGGCAATCAGGCATCAGTAGCATAGGAACATCATCATCATCATTTAAGCCTTATCCCAACTATATGGGGTTGGCTACATGAATCCTATTTTTTTTTTCTGAAGGATAAAGAAAATTTCATTAAAAAGAAAAGGAATACAAAAGAAAGGTGATAAGGTAGGTATCACTCAGGAGAGAGACATAACCAAAAACCCCTACAGAGATAAAAGCAAACCCAGATCAAACCCACAGCCACAATAAACCAAAGCCAAACTCTACCAGAGAACAGCAATCATCCCTAGGAAAGACAATGGAACCCCTTGAGCTGAGACCACCAACCACCAAACCGTTGGACCAACTATGCCTCTACTTAGCACAAAAAACAAAGCCTCACTCTTCATCAACAAGATCGCCTTCTTGCCCAGTATCCTCCTCATCCCAAACCTTGTCTCCTTCCAAACGAGCTTTTTTATTCAGCTTCTCATCTCTCTTTTTCCTCTTAAACTCCTCAAAGGCCTTTCTGTCAAATTTCTCACCACCCCAAAAAAAATAAGCCCAGGCTTTTTCCAATTGTGCCCTCTCTACCCACTAATTTCTGAAGAGTCCCGCAGCCTGAATCAGCGCCCTTCTTATCGCTAGTTCATAACAGCAAGTTCTCTCCCGGATCAGGACCATCAGCACTCGCCTTGTTAACTAGTTGCTCCTTCCCTAAGTGGAAATCCGATGATTGATCCTGCTTCGTAGACCCCTTTTGATCGCTTTCAGCTGTCGTATTGCCTTTCCCACCTTTCTCTTGTAAACCCGTTTGAAGTTCTTTGTAGGACCTCTCCCTACCAGACCTAGTTTCAGCCTAGAAAAAATTTTCATCACATGCACAACATTATGAGTTCTTGTGCTGCACAATCCTTTAGTAGTCACCTCATTAGCCAGCTCCTTCTCCTTTTCCTCAATCTTGTTTCTTTGACCCAAGTCTACACCCAGCTTTCCGACCATCACCTCCTCAAAGCAACAGTGGCCATTGGAATGACTCTCATCTTTTCCACCTTCAGCTCCACCAACAGCTATAGTCTCTTCTTCCTCAGTCACATTTTCCTCTTCAGTTTTATCCTTTGCGCTGTAGCAATCCCTCCCATCCTTTCTCCTCCAACCCCCAGACCCCTTAAGGACATTCTCCTCAAGGGTCAACGGATCTGTAATTTCTGACACGAACCCCGGATCTTGAGATTCCACATCTGCAGTCCCATTCTCAGAAGTGTTAAAATTCACTGCAGGCTTGCTTGCAGCATGTAGATGTCTCCCAAGATCGTTTTCCACAGAAGAAATCTGGCCATCCGCAAGCCAATCCATTGTTCCTCCCACATACCTCTTCTTACTGCTCTTATCGTACTTGGCCATCACCCAGACCCACTCCTCCCCCCTTCTCTTTCTAACCTCTGACGTTGGAGGCTTCCATACAATCTGCTTCTTTTAAAAGTTAATTTGTTAGGGCCTAGATTCGATTTCTTAGGCACTATACCTTTCCTTTTCCAACTGGTCTCTCTACTATCACTACAACTTGTTTTCAAAGTATGAACTTCACTCAGAGCTCCGTCTGGGCGAGAAGTTTGTATTCAACCAAAGTATCAAACTGGGTAAACAGGGATGATGATATACTGTTATTGTTATCCATAAAGTGGGCCGTGTGCCTTTTTAGCAATTCACATGAGCCCAAATTCTCACACCCATTTGAGTTCTTGTCTGGGCTCATAACCTGGGCTAACGCCTCCACCACTGGGGCCGAGTTAATTGGGTCCCCGACTCTCCCAAACATCGACCTATCACGGATTAAGTCCTCATCCGAAATGGATTTCAGTAATCAGGCCCCACCCCTAGTTACTCTTTTATAGTTATTCTCACTCGTCAAATTAAAGTTTTCTCTAGGGAGGTTTGCATTATTCTCATTTTCAAGACCTGCCTCGAGTTGGGCCCCAACTTTCAGCTGCTCTCCTTCCAAGGACCACACATCCTTAATGGTAACAAACTCCTCCTCTCCTCTGTCTCCACGCATATTCTTTGTTTCCAGATCAGCATCTTCTTCAACCTCCTACCCATTCCTCCATAGCAACATTTCAAATTCCGTGACCAACCAGACTTTGGTGCATAGACCGTTGGCAAGAATGTTGATCGCCCAAGGAACGTCCTACAGCAAAATTCCAGTGATCTTCATCTTCGCTGCTCGCAAAACAGACACATCAACTTCTAAAAGAAATCACCCCAGAACCTGTGCAATCCTTTCAAAGGAAGCTTTCTTCCATAGAGTGAAAGGTAGGCCAAACAACAATATCTCAAAAGCTCTGGCCACTACAGCCACCTTGTTGCAAGAGAACGGCCATTTTTCTAGTATCACCACCCCCATTTCAATCTCCGTCGACCTAAAGTTAATCGTTTTCAACCCTGCATCCAGAATGGCTCTTCTGTCATCAACGGGAAAAACTGAAACCCCAGAGGAAACTTGTAGTTTCTTCATAATAGCCTCTACAATCAATTTCCAGTTAGGAAGCTTGTTCTCAGCCTTAACGATCAACTTTCTTTCCCAGCCTCTAAAATTGTTTTCCAGTACTAACCTGTGAATCTTTCCTAGGCTAGCCACCAAAATTTGATGCTGCAAATCCTCTTGCCGATTAGCCTCCACGGAAAGTTGCTGGGTTCTCTTGCTCATGGCACTCAGTCTCTCCTTCAATCCAAGGACTCACGATGGGGAGCTTAGAAGGTTCTCTTTCAATGAATGTTGGAAACTTGTAGATAGCCAAATCACCATCCTTCAGCTCCAAAAAACTTTGAAGCTTCTGAGACAACAGTCTCCAACCCCAACCTTCTGGGATACATATTCGTTGATATCTATTTCTTCCAAAAAATGTTGTAATCTCCAAAAACCACCCTTTCAGCTCTTGTTCCTATGCTACCAATGGATATGGTAGAAAGCGAGATTTTGCCATTCTGTTCTGTTTAGTGCCATATCCATCAGTAGCATAGGAACAAGATCTGAACATGTAGTTAATGGTTTCATCATATTCTTGCATAGGTCAAACATGTGGGGATAAAAACCTAATCATTCATCTTTTTTGGTGTAAATTATTGGTAATAAGTAATCTTCAGGATTGTTCCCCAACAATCCAACATGCCCTAATCTTTTGTATAAGAACTAGCTATATAGCTTTAACAGAAAATGTTGGAGGTTTAGAAACAGTGTGACCATTCTATATCTCATTGCTATCTAGCATATTGAAAAGGAAGAAGATGAGAAACTTCAACTTGAATCAGCTCACCAAACTAAAGAATTTCTGCATCCCAACTCAATTAAAACATCCTTAAAGGATCTAGGAGGTTCATTATATATCAATATTTAATACCATTCTATCCACCATGTGAAGATCAAACTAGTCAATACTTAATTATGGATCAAAGCTACATGCCATAGATAAATAGCAAGCTTTAGTTATTCTATCTTACATGGACACTTCAAAATGGAGTCCTACTCTTGTTAGACAAGCATGGACACTACCAATGGCAAGATACTTAGACTCTGTTTGTTTTTCGGTAAATGGAGACGGGTAAATTGTGGGTCCCACAGTAAATTGCTTTTCCCTTGGTATCACTGAGATGGACAAGTGATACCCATCTCCCAGGTGGGTAAGTCACTTTCCCACCTGGGGGGAAAGTTGCCAAAATGTTATGGGACAAAATTGTCCCTTCTAATAATGACATTTTATGGGTAAAAATGGTCATTGTTTAACTTACACGGGAAACATTTTTGATCAAAAGAACACAGGTAAATGGCGCTTCCCAAAAAAACAAATGGGGCCTTAAGGAAACTCTTCTTCCTTTTTAGTTTGGTTGAACCTGTAATATGTGACTAAAGAACCTTAGATTCTTAAGATAAAATTTAGACATAAACTCTGAATGTTTAATACTTGATAATTTAGTAGAGTCAATTACAAATTATTTTATTTTCTTAGTGTTGTTTGCATTGATCTGTGCTTCTATATTTAACTCTTTCTTTTTCAATAAGCATTCCATTATTTATATAACATAAAAATATATTACTAAATTTATTAAAAGTTAAAGACTATTTGTTGAGTCTTGAAGTCCTATTCATTCAGGCTCACAGAACTAGAAACCTCAAACTCATTTCAAATTCTGAAACCCATACCAGCAGGATCCAGCTCCATGCAAATTTTCATTCCTATATTACTAACTATTAGCTGATACACCAATAATAAACCAACTTATATGCATCACTGTTAAGCCACCCCACATCTAAATAAATGGGATATGAAGTATGCCCCTTCTTTGTTTTAATGTATCTTTTCATTCACTTGTCAAAACTCAAAAGAATGGAATTGTTCTTAAATGATACACCTTTTTTGCAGCAGGCATCACCTATGACTGTAGGAAAAGGAAGGAAAAATATTGAATGGAAGTTTCAATAAGTACAAGAGAGAAGGCAGACAAAGGCAATAATCAGATACCCAAGCTCTTTGTCATTCAGAAGGGGGCAGGGTAGCATCCTGTCACCTGTGCTAGTGGTTCTTGGTTTTGTGGAGCCCAAGTGCCAGTTGCTGTCTTTGCTTGGGTTGAGGATTTTGCATGGAACTTCTTGAAGTTGAAGCAAGGTTAGAATGTCCTATGTTTATAATTCTGCATCCCTCTCTTTTTCTGTTAATAAAAATTTTTTATCTGCTCAAAAACATTTATGCATATGCAAATGATTTATCATTATTTATTTGTTATTCTAATAAGTAAAGAAAATGAGCATATTCATGACAAAAAGAAAATAAGGGGTCCATCCCCATATACAAGATCTGTTAATTAAGGAACCAATCAATTACAATGAACTGTCGATTCAATAATTGATGATGCACCCAAGATGCAAATGCTAAAGATTGCAAGCCACACACAAACATAAGAACAAAATGGAAAGTTTGATACCGGAGCAAAAATGACTTTCAATCTTTCACCACCAATACAAAGCACTTCCCCTCCTGAAATTGGGGTATAACCAAGAGACCAATCATCTGCAAAAATTAAATAAAATTACAACTTATAACTTGAATTGCAATGCTTAATAAATCAATGGAAATGTGTCTTTCTATTTTGGGAATGACAACTGAGAGTCATGATTTCAGTAGTTAATTTTAACACTTAATGCATGAATGTTGTACTATGTCAGGCACTTCAATCCTTGTTAAATTGTGCATTTTCCATATCCAGGTAACAATGTGACTTAACTATAAAGGAATTGACAGCAAAAACTTGGATCTGGGCTAACAAGCTTCTAAAACCAGCAAAAATTAAGTAAATTGTATTAACAGGACAAATTACTAATTTTTCATATGTTTATAATTTAACCCAAGGTTTTAAATTTCGTAACGTATCGGCCGATACGTATCGTTTCGGAAGAGTTCCGATACACGGAACATGTCTAATTAAATGGTTTCGTATTTTTTTGTCCGTATCAAACCGATACAGGTTCGTACCGGCCTTGTATCGGTCCGTTTTGGGTATGTATCGGCCGATACAATCCAAAACATGCCGATACATACCCGAAACGGGCAGATATGCATTATGTATCAGCCGAATTTAATTTCCCTCTCCTTTTTAAATTTAAATTTAATTTATATCTTCTCTCTCTCATTAATATCAATTTTAATTAAGCCTTAAAGTCTGAGACGTCACTAAATGCTAATAGAATTTAATTAAATGCCCATTTAAGTTACCTTTAATTACAGCATTTAATATGTCATTAAAT